GGGAGAAATGCAGGCTCCACGTGGAATCAAACACAGCCCCGCTGCTCTGTGGGGGAGGAGGGACTCTGGCTGCTAGAGGCCCTAGTGGCTGCGAGCGGCTTTCAATCAGGCCAGGCGTCCAATCAGCCGCGCCGCACGAGGGGAAGGGGGAAATCCCGGACATTTCTACTTGATTAGAAATCCCCCCCGGACGGCCATTTAACATTGAAAAAGCCGGACATGTCAGGGGAAACCGGACGGATGGTAACCCTAGTGTAGACCTACCCTGTGTGCCTATATTTCAGCATATAGGGCCAAATCCAAGGCCCATTGAAGTCAATGGGATTCTTTTTGCGTTGATTTCAACAAGTACTGGATCAGGCCAGTTGTGCTTTAGGAGCCAAAGCCTGTTGCCATTTAAATCAATGGAAAAACTCCCCTTGACTTCAATGGAATAGGGTTAGGTACATCCTCAAACTGCTTTACAAACATTAACTAATTAGTTTTGTGATAAAAATCTATCCTAGAAAAACCTTGTGAAGGAGTAGACTAACAGCCATTAAGAAAAGTGTCTGACCTTATCTTCTTGACAAAGTCATAAAAAGTTATAGAAGATTACTGGCTAATGGTGCTTTTTGGCACTCAGACTGTATCACTACTTTCAGACACTGCTCTGGTCAGCTCTCCTTAGTGCAATGCTTTGGGCACCCCAGAGCTGGATTTTTCAGAGTTCATGCTAAGTGTGCAGTTGGTGAATTTCTAGAAAATATTTCCAGCCACTTTATTATACTTTTATTCTACTGAAAATGCTCTGGTACATGCAGTATTGCACACCTAAGCTTCCAGTTCAACAAAACCTGCAGATCAGAGAAGTGGAATTTGTTCTCCATTTTGAAAGTGCATTTACACATTTAAATAGACCACTCTGCTCCCAAGCATGTCCTCGGTAAATGAAATAATTTATTACCAAATGAACATGTGATTGCACATGTAATAACTCATTTTGTAATGGCACATTCTGAGCATATAAATCAGAGACATCTTTTTAGAAATGTAGTCCAAAACAGCCAAAGTGAAAGTCTCGTTTCCTAAGAGGTAGGGAACTTTTGCTGAGACTGAACTATTTCTCCTGCCAATAGTTTTATTTTTTAAAGAGCATATGCATTAGAAAAACAGGTTTTCGAAAGTGAAATATTTTATGCTTTTGTTGGGTTTAAATGGCAGAAGCCTGTTTTTCTTTTTTTTCTATTGTCTCTCTCAGCTTCAGCTGCATCTGTGAGTTTCTCAATGCTACAGCATGTCTTCCTGCCTGTACCCATTTGTGTGTCTGTTTGCTTGTATGCACACTGTAATGAAGTGAGCCTCTTCAGAGCCCTATAGTTTGCTCCTTATGAATTCAGCGACCACAAAGTGCATCTATGACCCTAAGAACCTCTCAATGCCCATTGGCAAGGGAGTTCCCTGGTCTATAACAGTAACGTCTGACATGCCTGAGAAACTCACTGCACCTACCACACTGCTTTCATAGTGTTTATCCATAAAGAATATCATGTAATATGTTAGATGAAAGCCAGCATCACACTGATTGTAAATATTGTTGTGAAATGTATGTACAGATATTATGTAAAAACATATAAAGAAAATATGTTCCTAAAGTGTGAGTCCAGGTAGGGTTCACAAACAGGTTGCTGCCAGACAAATGATGTATTTTCATCTGTCTGCCTCAGTTCAAATGTAAATTAAGCATCATAAGCCATCACAATAGAAGCCCCCTATTTGCATATGAAGTCAACCTGAAGTCACCACACCAGGGCATAAACCTTAGAGTCATCCTGATTCCAGGGACATACAATGGATTTGGGGAGATGTAAGGAGAAGGCAAAAGGACACTTCTTTATCCTGCACCTGGGGATGTAATCAGGCAGTGTGATTACATTCATGAAAATGGGATCCCAACCAACGTTGGTTGGAAATGCTGCAGGAAGGCTTTGGGTGAGAACAGTCAGCTTTTAGATTGTTGCTTAGCCTGTAAACATTAAATTTAGTTTCTAGAAAGTGTTATGATTTTGTTTTATATGTAACCTTTCTATTTCCATTATTGTCCTTACACACATACTCTTAAATCTTACCCTTTGATAATACACTCATGACTGATTTCATTGTAAATAAATATATCTTAGAGCTGTGATGTTATACAAGAGCTGATCCTCAGTTGAATCAAACAAGTTGCTATGTACACTGTCCTATTTGGGGTGGCAAACATGGTACTTCTCTCAGTAGCCAGTAACAGGGGCTGGATATCAAAGGGGAACTCTGAAAGGGGTCTGGGACGGAGGTGCACCCGCTGTTAACCTGCAACACAAAGTGAGGGCTATCCTTGCCCAGATGAGATCCCTTGGGTGGCTAACAGATTGGTGGTGTTGGGGAGCTGGCACCTAGTTAAGCACCAGCAAGTCTCTCTCTGGCTGGAGGCAGGGGGGTAACAAGATGACTCTCAGTCCTGGACATCCTGAGAAAGCATCACACCATCTAGCCAAGTGAAAAATGGTGAAAAAAAAGGAGCTGTGATCTGTTTGTGCTACTTCTGAGCTCCACTGAAAGAATTAAGCCCTTATAGCTTCCTGCTGTTTGTTCTGGGCAAATATTTGAGTACCAACCTAAAATCAGTTTATCAGGCAATGTTTTGTCTTAAGCATATAATCAGGAGGTCAGGCAGGAAAAGAGCTGGAATAGATGTGGAAATGGTGAGCAGCAGGGGAGAAAAGCTGGTAGTGCAAGGTTGGTGAGGTCTCCACCCACTCAAGGGAATATATTGTTAAAGTCATTCAATTCCTCTGTCAATATTATTCTGCAAAAGTGCGACACACTGAGAGTCTTAAAAGGAAGTCATTAACTTAAAAATCACAATTTTGTCTGAAGATTTTTTAAACCTATCATTGTTAAAAGCAACACCCTAGCCTAGACTACTATAATTGAAAGATCAGACACAAAAGTTAATCTTTTTTTTCTCCAGTTTGTTTACACTCTGCTTTTAACTGCACATTATGTATAGTTTTATAGTGACTATGGCAATGTTTTGAAATCAAGATCATAACATCTCTGTGTGCCAACTGGCTCCCTGGCTGCCAAGCCATGCCAGAGAAGTAGTTGCAGCATTTCAGAAGTGGCATAGGTATATAGATGTAAAGAAATCTGTGAT